TCTCTCTCTCTCTCTAGAGTAGTCCCCGCCCCCCCTCTCTCTCTCTCTCTCTGGCAGGCCTCGCCCCCTCCCTCTCTCTCTATTTCTTTCTCTCTCTCATACTCATAACAAGAAATGGAACAAAACTTTCTCTCTCTCTCTCACTCATAACAATAAATGGAACAAAACTTTCTCTCCCTCTCACACTCATAACAATAAATGGAACAAAACTCTCTCTCTCTCTCTCTCTCTCTCTCTCTCTCTCTCTCTCTCTCTCTCTTCTGTTAGCTCTTAGTCTCATTGGTTTGGCTACCTCAGGGCTGCGTTCCCCTCGCCCACGCGGTAGACATTTCTTAAGGGACCGATCCCCTAAATTATCAGCCCCCCTCTAAGAACCCACTTGCATCGTGGTCGCCCGCCGTCGCTTCTTTTTGGGGTCCGTTTCCACCCGAGGACCAGCCCTTCCTGTTTCCAGAAGGCCCGGTTCTACAAGAGCTAGCTGTAGGTAGTCCGCAATATCTTGAAGGACCGGTCCCCCAAATTTCCCCCCCTCCTAAGAACCCACTTGCATAGTGGTCGCCCGCCGCCAAAAATGCCATACCTTGACACAGAAGCCGAAGCCCACTATACCGCAGCCCTAGGGCTGCAAACAAACGCCGGACCCTGCTGTACCCCAGCCTTGAGGGCTGCGAATTAGCAGCGCGGGCGATGCCGTAACCGGCGGAGGCTTTCATTGATTAGGGTCGGGTAGAAAGCGGTCCTGATCGAGCGTCCAGGTGTGAGCACTTCTTTGCCACCACGAGCATGATGCTTGATGAGCAGGGACTGAGGCTACCCGTCCATCTAGGGGCATCTGGCCGGGGATCTGCGTGGTTATCTCCGTACGTACCTATCCATAGGTACTACTGATATACCTATGTGTCGAGTATCTTGTGGACGTCTCGATCAGTTCAATAGCCAGTATTGGCCGGCATCCTCAATGCAACAAAATTGTATTTTTGATTAATTCATTCGCTTGGAGTGCTTAACCGTCCGACAGATTTGATTGGCTATCGATTGATTGATTTACCAAGGTTGTTAATTGATTGGTCGCTTGTCTTTTTTTTTTTTGCTGTGAAATTGTGTGAGGGGAGAGTGGCTGTGACTCTTTCTGTGCAGGGAGGGGACGGGGGCCGAGGGAGGAGGAAGGAGAGTGATTGAACTGAAGGGGGTGAGAGATGGCGAGCGTGGCGAACCCTTTCGACGTGCTGGAGCCCGTCGAGAGCCGACAATCACGGCGGCGGAAGGCTCGACGCGGCGGCGGCGGTGGCGGCGGAAAGGACGGTCAGGGGGCCGGGGGATTGAGGGGAGGCACACCTACAGCAAGTGGAAGCTCCACAGGAGCAGCTGCGAGTAAGGGCTCGGCGCGCAGTGGGCGAGGACATGACGGATCTGGTGCGGGTGGTGTCGCGACGACTGTGCGCTCTTCAACTGCATCTGTCCATTCTGTGTCTGCGTCAGTTGTGCCGCCGCAGCACCAGGGAAGAACAGGGCGGGATCGGGGTGAGGAGACGAGAGATGACGGGAGCGGAATGCAAGCGCAATCGGGATCGGAAGAGGATGGTGATGGAAGATGGGAGGTGGTGCGGGAGGGTTACGGCAAAGGGTCGAGTAAGCAAGGTGGGACTGGCGGAGCGGCGGGGATCGGGAACGCGGCGGGAGCGCTGAGCAATACCCTTACCAGTGGCGGCGGCGGCGGCGGTGGAGGCGGAGGCGGAGGTGGCGGCGCGGTATCATCCACACCCGCTGTGACGTCAAATGCTGCCGTTGTGAGCGCGGGTACCGCGGATGGATCGCGATTCCGATCTGAGGTGCAACTGCCGCTAGCGTCTGCGGAGATCAAGCGTATCGAGTCCTTGGCCCTCGCTTGCGCGGAAGATGACGACAACCGGGTTCGGCTTTGGCGGGAATGGGCGAGGCGCGCCGGCGAAGTGGGGCCAACTGCAGCGCAAGGGAAGGAAACGACAGCCACAGTCCCCGCCTATGCGCTAGGAGATCCGACGGCTGCGAACGGACGAGTTACTTCTCTCACCTGGAAAGAGGTTGGTTGGAGTTTTTCGCTATTTGTCAATCTTTTTCTCTATATATCTCCCTGGCTGTCTTCCTCTTTCCCTTCCTTCCCCCCCTC